TTATCGGCACCACGATCCTCCTCCTACGCCGTTGTCTCGTTGCGCGGACGTCCGATACTTAAGTTGCGGTTCAGCGTCACCCCAGCGTGGAAAATACCAGCCCGGCAGGTCTTCCTCGGGGTGGTTTTCCGTGGAAGTCCGGATTAAGGACAGAAAGAAAGAATGAATGAGGGAACCTGGTGTCAATGCCCTTGTTGTTTACTGTGCCATTGACCTTCAACTGCATAAATACGAGGTAAGAAAACATCGTTAGTGAAACGTGTATTGATTAGTTCGGCTGCGGTCAAAGGGGAAAATAAGAATAATCCTGGTTTACCAACTGTGCTCTCCAGCATCGGTACGCCTTCAGAACTTAATTTCGGTTTCTTTGAATGAGTGTTACAATTTCGATCGAGGGCTAAATGTTCGCCGGTACACAATAAACAGGGTACACAAATGTAGACTCCGCAAACTCAACACGTCGCAGAACCCACATCACGATCTATTTTCTTCAGTTCGTGGTAGCGGTCGTGAAAGCCGTAGTCGCGAATCCGACCTGTTTGTTGGCGGTGTCGAAGACGGAGTAGTAGCGCTCAAGGAATGCGTAGCCGTTGATGAAGTCGAGGCCCTCGCCCGAGTCCGACCCGAGGTCAGCGACAACCTAAGTAGCCACCTTTGATATAAATATTGCAATGGGCAACGAGGGGCGGAGCTTACGAGGTAGATTCCGCTCGCGGTACCACCGATGGCGGTGTTCAGGGAGCGCGGCCAAATCTGGGCGTTGGGGGTCAAAGCGTAGGTGATCTAAAGAACATCTCAGATCAGTTGTCGCTCATTTAAGGTACGCATTTTGGTATTGTACGAACCCCGCCAATGACAAAGTCGAGGTTCGACAGCGCGGCGAATTGCGCGGATGTGATCTTGAGGAGGCCGGTGGCGTTGTCGAGGATACCGCCAGTCGCTTTCTGGTATTTCGTGAAAGCGTTTGTGGCGATGAGGATGAGGGTGGTGCCGGTGTCGACGATGCCGGCGGTGGAGCTCAAGATGGTGGTACCACCGTATGAGATCGACTGGTTGATGCCCCAGTACTCGTTGGCGGGCGAGGTGGAGGCAATTGGCGTGAAGGCGATGGAACCAGTGAGTTTGGTGCTGTCAGTCCCACCGAACGCGATGGAGCCGCTGGCGTCGTCGTCCGATTTGGCGGGTTCAAAGGAAATGCCAATGAGGTCCGCGGAAATGGTGCCCTGGCTGAACAGGTTGTCCGTGACGGTGGGGATGAGAGTCGATTGGGACTTGGTCAAGGTCCCTTCGGTAAGATCAACGGGGCCGATTCCCAAGATACCGTCAATGCCGGAAAAGTCGGTGGACCTGGAGGCGACACCGATGGATTGCTTGGTGATGACGAGGCCGCGGCCAAGAGTTACCGTGTCGGTGTACTCGGTGCCAGAAAAGGAACCAGTGCCGTAGGTGACCGACTGAGGGAAAATCGTTATCGAATAAACAATCTAGCCTCGCAGGCGCTTACCACCGACTGAGAAGTCTTGGCCGACGTCGAGGTCTTGACATATGCCTTGCCCGCTCCGACCCAGGTGTTGGAACTCCCGGTGTCGACAATGAGCGAATCTAACAACAAATTCAGTTGAAGCTCCTCGAGCTATACCGTCCAGACTCACAGGTAGTGGCGGGGCTGCCGACACCGACGGCGGCCAGGTACTGAACAACCTGGTTGGAAACAGGCTCTGATACGACAGCGCGGGAGGCACCGCTCGACGAGCGCGACTTGAAGGCCTTGACGCGAGCATAGTCCCGCTCCGCAAGGGAAGTTGACCCCGTGAAGTTGAACTTGCGCGAAAGGGGCAGGCTGACGAAGTTGTCCTCGATGAGTATAGGGCCAGCAGCGACGCGCAGAGCAAGGAGGATGGCAGGAAGGAGGGTGAGTGCGAGCATGCCGGGATGATGAAACTGAGTGAACTAGTGCGTTGCATACTTTCCTTCAGAGCCTTTTATATGGAGCCAACATCAATTGCGCGCGTTGAGCGTATCATGCGAACCGGAATCGTGGCCCATTCGACGGAGGCATCAACGAGAACCAACGGTTGCCAAGAAATCCTGCACGAGACCTAGTTCACAATGAAAACGAGCACAAGCGGGTGAACGAGTGTGCGGTTTTTGCTACCGATTCCGCCTGCTACCTGGCGCTATGCAGGAGAAACATGATTTACTGAGACCCGTGATAGCAAAAATAGTCAATGGTGGCACTGGCAGTAATGTGGCAGCCAGACTGGGCCAGTGTCGTTGGTGGAGAAGAAGGAAGATAGCATAGCCACTTGACAATTTCCTGATGACTCTTAATGTTGGCAAGCCCGAATAATTCGAGACTTTGCGATCCAGAGTGCGGGGCAGGCAGCTGCAGTGAAAAGGCTCGGAGACTTGACGATGCAAGAGACGTTTTCGTAACCAGTACGGCCTCTGCCAAAAATACAATTTCTGTTTGGATTCTAAATGTCTCGACCTGGCGCCGGCGTTGATGGTGCTTTTGCGGCAAAAATCTCAATATGTAGTAACGCGGGCGATCCTTAGCTAAGTTGTGTTTCTGGTCGGCGCTATTGGTTTTATTTTGTGGTGCTGCATAATTTTTTTTTTCGGAATTCGGGGAAGTGGCGTGTAAGTACTGGTATCGAAGCTACCATTCCGGGCAGAAATAGTAGGCGACGGAAAGAGCAGCTCGAGGATGTCATGGCAGCAAATGCATTGGGCCTGTTTCCACGATCGAGCAACTTGCCAACTCCACAAGAACGATACATTCTTGTGTTTGCCCGTAGCGCACAGACCGGGGTAACCCTTGTAGGAAAAAATTTGTACATAGAGGTTCCTTCATAGAGAGATGCGCAAGTATCCCGGAAGCGTCATCCAGTTTAGTCCATTATTTATATCGCCTCGCTTGACAGACAATTTCTTCTCTCCTCGCGCTGGAACAGTGAAACCAGCCAGTAGTGCATTGAGTCGAAATATACAATTCAATTTGAAGCAATATTCAATGGGCCTCATATTTTTCCAGGATCTCTTCATCCTGCAATTGTGCTGACTTCGGGGCAGTGTCAGCGTGCGGGCGATCTAAGAATGTGCAAAGCTTGAGTTGGAAACGGTGAAATCTGACGAGTGAGAGGAAGGAAAAGGAAAGAAAAAACAGGTCGCGCCCGGATTCGAACCGGGGTTACGAGAATTACAATCAATCAGAATCTCGAGTGATAACCACCTACACCACGCAACCATACCACAAAGATTAACAATGGCAATCACATTGATTTATTTTAGCTATGTACAGTTCGGGCTTAAGCACCTGCCCAAGTTCTAGGTTCAATTCGGAGTTCTGAACAAGCATAAGACGGAACAAAGCAAAAAAATACCAATGATACAGTGCACCTATAGTCTTTGCTGGTTTCATAGTGCACTCTCGCCCACCGAGCCATGTGTGAGGACCACCCGGCACTGCAAGACATGAAGTGCCGGTGACGCGCAGGGCGGGGCTCGGGCCAGTAGCACGTGCACACACACACATCGCGAGGAGCGGTGGCGTCGCGCTCAGCGTATACGGCCCCAGTGTTGCAGCTTAAGGGGTTAATAACGGTAAAAATTTTGGCTAAGGCTTACACTGGGGGCAAACACCATGACCGTGGGTTCATGGCGTAGGACCGACACTTGCCATGGCATTTGCCCCATTTTCTTTGTCCTATTTTTAATTATGATTGTTCCTTTGATGTAGACCAACTCTTCGTCTCGGCCTTTGTACAGTAACATTTGAGGTCAGTAAATACTTCCAGTCTTGCGCATGCAGCGGGGGGTGCTACCTGGTCTAGCAGGCTGCAGAATGATGCTCACCCTGAGTTGACCTTGAGTCAAAATAAAAATCTGGGCCTGGGGAAAAAAACCACAGCCAGGCAGATTTGTGATGGATGAGAAATAATGTATCAGGGCAACCAGTAGAACACAATCTATGCAACAAGGAAAATGTCTATCGGGGTACAAGTATTGAGATATTAAATGCGGTGGATGATTGACATTTGTCGCCTGACAGCTCAACTAAAATAGAACAAAGAGAATTGCAGTGCAAAAGGCAAATGCCTGGCAAATGCCATGGCAAGTGTCAGTCCTCGGCCATGAACCCACGGTCACGGCACTTGCCCCCAGTGTTAAGGACGTAATTACGGGTTATTAAGGGTGGTCGTAATTAAGGTTTAATTTCCTAAAAGGGAATATATAGCAGAAATCAGCAGGCTACCTCTCGAACTAGTCCCCAGAGCCGGAGACAGCGCCATTGTCAGGATTCTCATCGCTCTCCTAAGCCACAAGAACCTCCATTATCGGTATGTCCTTGGTGAATTGTTTGGCGAGTGGTTTTCCGACCGGCTTAATGACCTCACCGCCGAATAGAAGAGCGAGGGAGTGGGAAAAAAATTGGCTGGCTGGACCTTCCAGCAGAGGGAACAGGCTTGATTCCTGAAGCCTTCACCCACTTGTTCACCGCAACACACCAAAATTATCACGTGGTCATTGACACGTGTTTATCATAAGGGGTAGTTAACCCTTAAGAACCTCTCCAGCTTTTGCTAAGGCTTAATATTAAGGGATAATTAAGCCTTAACCTTAATTAAGGCTTAAACCTTAACTGCAACACTGTACGGCCCCTCGTCGCACTCCCTGCAGGCATCCCAGTAAGGTCGTAGCCTCGACTTCTCAAGATCCTGGTTAGAGATGGTTTGCAAGTGGAAAAATGAAACGGACGCACGGATATGAAGACTTCCAACGGTGGCGACAAGAAAATTACACCAAGCAGCCGTTACGAACATGGCTGTGTGTATAAATGTGAGCAGCCCGCGTGGCGACAGTATTTGAGTTGTGTACCGAATCGACGCGGAAAAGACAAAAAACGAGGGGCGGACAATACGTAGGACGCCTCAAACATACTCAAAGTTGTGTTGTTAACCCAGAGCAGCAAGGGTGCAAAAAAACTGCCAAAATGATGACATCACCGTGGATTGAACACGGGACCTCCAGATTCCCTCAAGTTCACAGTACAGATCTACTTCAGTCTGTTGCTCTCCCAGCTGAGCTATGACGCCACCTCAAGTGAATTTCTTTATGCATACCCCACACACGGAGTTTGGGAACGACTGCAGGCACCGCGGACCTTCAAGTTTATATGTGCTTCGCCGTAGCGGAATCCTTGGGCAACGACGGACACAGACAGATGCACACGGATTCCCCGCAACCCTCGCACCCGCCTGCAGCAGAGTCGCACATGGGGCCCGAGAGCAAGCATTACAGCCCCTGCTAGTGCGTCGGTCCAACTTTGTGCGTCGTCGTCGTCCGAGTTCGCTGCCTCTTCCACGTCCCCAGTGTCGCAATCTACACTCCAAATGCTGCATCTTCCAAGTCTGGCGGTGTGTCCTTCCTCGGTCTTCAAGTGCTGGCTCGCGTCCCGGCCCTCAGGCTGCTCCCTACCCCGTTAACGCGTCCTTCTTCTCACATCCGTCCATCTATTATTCTCTATCCCCTCCACCTTGCCCCTCCCCGGAGTCCCCGCTTCCATCTCCACCTCCACCTCTACTGCCGTGTCTCCGTCGCCTGTCACCCCACGTGTTATGAGCACATTCCCAGCGTCGGCACCGCCCTCGCCGGCCGCACCCCACCCACGACGCGTCACATTGTCCGCACCGAGCGCATATCCCTTTTCCCTCGTGCGGTCGCGTTGAAGACGGCGCGCGGCCCGCTGTGTGCCGCCCGTCCTCGCCCGTCGCGGTGGGATCTGATCGGATTACAGCGGTGTTCGATCTACGGCGCTGCACAGATGCATGACGCAGGCCGCGTCTGTAGCCCACCGTGTGCGTGGACATCGTTCGCTTCCACATCGGGGTGGATGTCGATTTCCGGGCGAGCGCGGATGGACATCATCCCCGTTTCTGTCGTCGGTTTCACCCCGTATGAGCCCCCGTCGCCGAGTCGCTAGGGCGCGCGCTCTTCTTCCGAGTCGCGTCAGCCGCGGCCACGGCCACGGCGCCGTGCGCGTGGTCCTCTTCATCAAAGTGTCGGATGTGTGGTGCCTGCGGGGAAGGGTAGTCGTCAGCGTTGCGCGAGGAGGTGCTTATGAGGAGAGCGGGTAGAAATGGGCGCGCGCGGTGTGTGTCATCCAGAAAGTAAGGGAGGAAGAATGCAATGAGTTGAGCCAGCGATCCCGGAGATCCTCGAGAGCGACGAGGGGAAGGGCGAGGTGAGGGGACGGGAGAATGAGTCTCGGCGGAATCCGTGCGGGACACGAGACGAGAGACACTCACTGGTCGCCAGCCGTGTCGCCAGTGGCACGATAGCCGGAAGCGGGCGTGGCAGCAGCCAAGGTACACCTTTCGCCACGCCACTGCACCCCAATTCATCCATCCCTCCAGATCTCCTCTCATACATCCCTCCAGATCTCCTCTATCCCTCCCCTCCATCCTCTCCTCTCCTCTTCTCTATTTCGTCGCTCCTTTTCTTTTTCTCCTGCATCCCTCGTCGGAATGGTGCAATGAACAGGGTGCGGAGTAATTTGTTGTGCTCAACTGGTGCTGGCGAGTCATCCAATGTCTCCAAAATCTCCTCCGGTCTGGCTCAGGGCTTCAATTGTGTTTCCTTCAGACATTTTCGGATCTGTTTTGGAGTGGGGTTCGATTCGGGTCCTTCGCTCGCATCGATTTCGGGTATGACTCGGAGGTGAGCATCGTCGTTGCTTCCTCGTCGGATGGTGTCTTCATGTGCAAGCGGCCGCGTTGGCGGAAACGCGTACCGAACCTCTTATATTTTTTATTTGTTTCTTTGTTTTGGAGCGTGGTTCGACCCGGGTTCTTCGCTCGCTTCGTGGCTCCGTGCCGGTTTCTGGTATGAGTCCTTCCTCTTTTTTTTTAGCCGATGTCTTCTTGCGCAAGCGCGTAGCGAACCTTTTGGATATTTTGTTTGTTCGTTTTGGAGTGGGGTTCTTCACTCGCTTCGCAGCTCCGTGCCGGTTTCGGGTGTGACTCGGAGCTGTGAGCATCGTCGTTGCTTCCTCCCTCCTCCTTTTTTCAGACAGTGTCTTTGTGCGCAAGTGGTCGAGGGCAATGCTCGCGTAGCGAACCTCTTGGATTTTTTGTTTGTTCATCTTGGAGTGGGGTTCTTCGCTCGCTTCGCACTGGCTCCGTGCCAGTTTCGGGTATGAGTCTTTCCTTTTTTTTGAGACGGTGTCTTCCTACACAAACGGTCGCGTCGCGGAAGAGGGCAATGCTCGCATAGCGAACCTCTTGGATTTTTTGTTTGTTTGTTTTGGAGTGGGGTTCAACCCCGGTTCTTCGCTCGTTTTGCACTGGCTCCGTGCCGATTTCGGTATGACTCGGAGGTAAGCATGATTGTTACTTCCTCCGTCCTCTTTTTTTTTTCTAGACGGTGTCTTCGTGCGCACGCGGTCGCCTCGGCGGAAGAGGGCAATGCTCGCATAGCGAACCTCTTAGATTTTTGTCTCTTTGCTTTGGAGTGGAGTTCGACTCGGGTTCTTCGCGAATTGCTCGCTTCGCAGGCCCGTGCCGCTTTCGGGTATGACCGTGAGGTGAACATCGCTGTTGCTTCCTCCGTCCTCTTTTGTTCGGACGGTAGCGGTCACGTCGGTGGAGGAGGGCAATGCTTGCGCATGTAGCGAACCTCTGAAGAGCGCGCGATTACGGGCTTCTCCTTCCTTTTACTTTCTATATCTTCAAAATCTATTCCGATCTGGCCCAGGGCTTTTGTGTTTCCTTCGGAGGCTTTTGAATTTTATGTTTGTTTGTTTTGGACTCAGTGGGGTTCGACTCGGGTTCAACTTCGCGCGCTTCGCAGCTCCGTGCCGGTTTCGGGTACGATTCCTTTCTCCTTTTTCTTTTCGGACGGCGTCTTGGTGCGCAAGCGGTCGCGTCAGCGGAAGAGGGAGATGCTTGCATAGCGAACCTCTCAAATTTTTTGTTTGTTCGTTTTAGAGCGGGATCGAGGGCGTTTCGCAGCTCCGTGCCGGTTTCGGATATAACTATGAGGTGCGCATCGTTATTACTTCCTTTCCTTTTTTTCCGACGGTTTCTTCCCGCGCAAGCGGTCGGCGGAGGAGGGCAATGCTTGCGTATGTAGTGAACCTCTGAAGGGCGCGCGATTGTTCCTTTTACTTTCTGTATCTCCAAAATCTATTCGTGTATGGCCCAGGGCTTTTGTGTTCCCTTGCTTCAGAGGTTTTTACGTTTGTTTTGCAGTGGGGTTCAACTCGGGTTCAACTTCGCGCGCTTCGCTCGCTTCGCAGCTCCGTGCTAGTTTCGGGTATGACCGTGAGGTGAGCATCGTTGTTGTTTCCTTCGTCCTCCTTTTTTCGGACGGTGTCCTTGTCAATGCGCTCGGTTTGGTCAGCTCCCGCCAATATTCGGGGCACAGATGCAAGGGGATGCATTATTCTGCTCGAGATTCCCACGATATGTACGCGTACAACCAAAAGGCGCCGCTACTTTTTTAAACGATCAACATTTGTTTCGCTGGTTTCTAAACAAACACTTTTTTGATCGCATGCTATCCTCCTAACCGTCTAACGGTTCTCCACTACGTTGCTGCGCGGTAGCACCGCTCAGCGTAGCACGTAGCTCCGAATTAAAAACGGCGGCACCGCTAACTACTTTTTGTAGCCGCCGGTTTATCAAGAACAGTTCCAATATTACGCTACTCAACGTAGAATGTTATTCGGGAGAGGGACATCGCTCGCATGATTCGTGATTTCTTTTGGAGATGCCTTCATCAATCCTACAAATGCGGAAATTATTGGCGCAACATACCTACATATTACATATCAACAATGGGCAATATATCCCTCCTGTCAAGTCGATGAAAAAATGGAGCACATCCTGGTTGAATCCTCAGCACCAGGCCAGTTGATTTGGAATCTATGCAAACAACTATGGGAGAAAAAACACAAAACATTCCCAGACATAAAAATTGGTGTGATCCTTGGTTGTGGACTTGCGGAGTTCAAGGGACAAGCTGTGCCCGGACTACGACGCGTGGAACCCATCCCAGCTCGGAACGTAGGCATGAGGTGGAATGCGGATCGCGTGACGTCAGATGTTATGCGTCCCAGTTGGTTGCAGGGGTAAAGACTTTACTGCAGTTCTTGAATTTTAATTTTTCGGGTCATTGACCTTGGCTGTAAAGTCATTCATAAATCCGCTCTCTCCCACCTCGTCACCTGTAAGACCTCAGTGTTGATAGAACTTGAACTGAAAGCGTGTTTTCGGACCGGACAGAAACCACTCAGATGGGTGCGTATATTCCAACAAGGTCCCGTTAAGAGAAAACCGGAGTTCGCAGTACATTTTTCAGGAGTGAATAGGTAGCTTGGGAACTAAGGAGAAACGCCTGGGTCAGATTTTTGTCACCAATTAATGCATTTCGAAACTCAATCGGTGTGTTCACCCTGTACTTGAGCGTCCACAAAATTACAATCGCACACAGCATAATCATTGTCCAAGCAAAACATATATCCCCACCAACGAACCCCATTATGTCTCCTTCATCAAGCTACACTTGAACAAGCAAGAATTCCGTCGATGGTAGTTAGGACGGTATCTGGAAGGAAGTGGCGTGGCGATCAGTGAAGGACAAGCTAAGCTCTTCCGATACGCACCCAAGTTGACCTGGGTACCAACGGCAATTCCGCTGCTGTTCGCACACACCGCACCAAGTTCCAGTTTAGTCAAGGCAATTTCACTGCATTTAATGCTGAAATTCTCGCCGCTGGAGCACGGAGCTTCAGCTGGAAAAAAATGGTCGGTGCAGAGGTCAGGACTTACGCGCCGAGTTCTCCGTTGCTGTTGCCAATGCATGAGTCGAGAGGAATCGTGCTCGGAATAAGACTTCGCCCAGCTGCATTGAGGCAGTTGGCGGAAAGAGCGTTACCGCTAAAGACTAAGGAAAGACAGAATTCGGCGACATTGCCCCGCTTCTGCAGGGGAGCAGTGCGGGCGGTAGTAGAAAAGAGGGCCAGGAAGACGTAGAGGAGCAGTGTGTTCATGATGGGAGAGAAATGAAGAGTAAAGGCTTCTGGTCTGTGTTC